AGTGACTATCTCACAAACTAGTACTAAACTATTCACAGGGTTTTTATACGATATCAACATACAGAAGATTATGAAACGTAATATAGCGAATATAGATACATACAATGAAATTATCTGACAATACATTCAAATGATACGGAGATAAACTGAATCAGACATAGTTTATCTAATAACTTTATATAGATATCAGTATATGATAGGATGAACAGTAAAGAACCCCAAATTATTCCCATATATATATATATATATATATATATATATATATATATATATATATATATATATATATATATATATATATAGAAAAGTGAATATACCCTTAAGAGTATATAAATTTAGGTATCCAAACCGGTCATATTACATCATTTTGTTTAATATATTCATTATAATGTTATTAAAATTCAATCACTAACTTGATTTACTTTTAATATTTTCGAAATTTCACAATTATCATCCTCTTACATCACATATTGGTGTCGAACACCTACTAGGCTACATATATAATAATTGAAAATGAAAATTATGTAACACAAAGATAAATAGGAAATTTATAAAAATCTTATAAATAAATCAAGTTAGAAGTTAATTATAAGAATATTGGACAACCACAATGTATATATATGATATAAAATGATGTAGTATGGTGAGTTCGGGTATCTAAGCTTATATAGCATTAAGGGTATATTCACTTTTTCCATATATATATATATATATATATATATATATATATATATATATATATATATATATATATGGTTGAGATCGGTTGAGAACTCATCGTTTCCTGAGAACCCGAGAACTAAAAGTAGAACGTTGGATCAAAAATAATTCATTAAAGACATGATCATCATCTTAACAATCTCATTTAATGTTTAATTTTTGTGTTATTTAATATATTAATACAAATGTCTAAAAAATTACATCATAAATCAAATTTTCATATTTTTTTTTATTGAATAGGAAAATGTAATTATTCAATAAAGCAAACAAATAATTAAAGCAACTTTATAACTTGTGTGGTTGATATATATATATATATATATATATATATATATATATATATATATATATATATATATATATATATATATATATATATATATATATATTTATGGAAAAGTGAATATACCCTTAAGGGTATATAAATTTAGGTATCCAAACCCATCATCTTACATCATTTTGTTTAATATATTCATTATAATGTTATTAAAATTCAATCACTAACTTGATTTACTTTCAATATTTTCGAAATTTCACAATTATCATCCTCTTACATCACATATTTGTGTTGAACACCTACTAGGCTACATATATAATAGTTGAAAATGAAAATTATGTAAGAGAAAGATAAATATGAAATTTATAAAAATCTTATAAATAAATCGAGTTAGAAGTTAATTATAAGAATATTGGATAACCACAATATATATATATATATATATATATATATATATATATATATATATATATATATATATATATATATATGATATAAAATGATGTAGTATGTGAGTTCAGGTATCTAAGCTTATATACCATTAAGGGTATATTCACTTTTCCCATATATATATATATATATATATATATATATATATATAGGGTTGAGATCGGTTGAGAACTCATCGTTTCCTGAGAACCCGAGAACTAAAAGTAGAGTGTTGGATCAAAAGTAATTCATTAAGGACATTAGGGGTGTTGAACGGGTAATTTTTTCGGGTTTCGGGTAATTCGAGTTTTTCATGTTAGAAAAATTACCCGTTATCCTACCCAAACTAAATTCGGGTAATTCGGGTTTGGGTAATTCGGGTATCGGGTCGGGTTTGGGTAATTCGGGTATTACCCGAAATATATGATTTTTTTTTTGAATTTCACCTAAAAATAAATTTAATGAAATAAATACGTCGTGTTTTATTAGTCTTGTTTATATAAACAAACGAGACATAAACAAAGTTACTCAAGCTTTGAACATTGAGATTTTCTACTCAATAATACATGAGATATCAATTATTTTTTTAACGACTTAATCTAATCTAATAAGATGTTAAAAAAACAAATACCTAAAGATCTTAATTTAAAAGTTTAAAATGTTTAAGATAAATGTAGTCCTAAGTTCTGTCAAGTTCTAAAGTTTCATCAAAATAATGAGTTTGTTAGTTGTAATAAAAACTATAATATAGAAAACAGTTAAGTTTTAAAGAACATGATGATATATAAAAATTACTTTTAATATTGTTAGTGTCGTATTATCATAATAAATATATTTATGTTTTATAATAATGATATTAGTTTAAGCTTGATCAAATACATATTATATAGTACAAGCTCTATAAAAAAAAATGAATTCTTAAAATAATTTGGGTAATTCGGGTATACCCGAAACCCAAAAAATGTACCCTTTACCCGACCCGAAAAAAAATCGGGTAACCCGATTACCCGGAAAAATTTACCCGATACCCGATTTACCCGATACCCGAAAAAACCGGGCGGGTAATTCGGGTATCGGGTATTTTCGACAGGGCTAAAGGACATGATCGTCATCTTAACAATCTCATTTAATGTTTAATTTTTATATTTTTTAATATATTAATACAAATGTCTCAAAAATTACATCATAAATCAAATTTTCATATTTTTTCTAAAATAATATTTTTTTTGTGTTTTTTTAAGAAAAAATACGGATTTTTATTTTTTTATAGAAAACAAGAATTTAAAAAAAAATGAAAAAAATATTTTTTTTTAAATGCAATTTTTTCAACAAAACAACAATTTTTTCAAAAAACAACAATTTTCTTAAAAAATTGCATTTTTTTTCAAAAAAAAAAACATTTTTTTTTCAAAAAAACTGCAATTAAAAAAAAAAAACTGGAACTTTTTAAAAAAAATTGCATTTAAAAAAAATGTATTTAAAAAAAAAAAACTGCAATTTAAAAAGAATACTATAGTATTCGTAAGTAAATCACTACAAATCTCATTTTTATTAACTAATCTATAAACATAATAGTACAACTATTTCATTCGATACAAAATACAATATAAAAAATAAAAAATGCTACAAATTCAAAGTGTTTTCATGTCTTCGTGTCAATATTTCCTTATTTTCTTCAATTTATTATTTTTCACATCTTCAATATTCACCAAAATTTCTTCCAAAACTATAAGAAAATTTAAAAAAAAATGATTGATGCAAAAACACTTACAAAAATAAATATGTGATTAACATATGAATCACATGCGATTCCCACATGAATCACATGCGATTCACATATGAATCACATTTACATATGACATCATATGTAAATCACATGTAAATCACATGCGATTCACATATGAATCACATGTGATTCACATGTTAATCATATGTGAATCACGTGTGATTCAAATTTGAATCGTATGTGAATTACATGTGATTTACATGTGAATCACGTGTAATTATAATTGACATGTGAATCATATGTAATTCATATGTGATAAACTTGTGATTTTCATGTGAATCATATCTTATTCATATGTGAATTACATGTGAATCGCGTATAATTGCGATTTACATGTAAATCACATGTGATTTTAACGTGAATTACATGTGATTTATAATTACATGTGATTTACATGTGAATCACATGTGATTCATATGTGAATTACATGTGATTTACATATGAATGACATGTAATTCATATGTGATTTACATGTGAATCACTACACACTTATAGTCATGTTCAATTTGTTGTTAAGAAAATGTATATGTAGATTGTGAATTATTGCTTACTGGTAAAAATATTACCATCAACAAGAAGAAGAACAAGTGGCACCAATCTACAATATACAACGCCCATAGATGTTCCCTCAACACGAACAACTTGATAAAAAAGAATAAACCATTTAAACCAACAAAACTTCCAGAATGAAAAAAAAAAAAAAGAAGAAGATAAAGAGTAAATTTCACCTTAAGCTCAGAACAATCTGCTTTCAAAGTCCCATTTGATTCATTGTTATATGAAGATGGGACAATTTTTTGAATTGTTTTTCCCTCCTAGATCGATCTATAAATGAAAAACCATTAAGAATCAATAGAGAAAAACATGTAACAAGATGCAATTTGATGATTGATGTGAATTACATGTGAATCACGTGTAAATTATTGATGTGAATTACATGTGAATCATCGGTAATTAATATCTGAATCACTTGTAATTCTCATGTGAATCACATGTAATTTTTATCTTGTTTTTGTTTTGATGGCTTTCATTTGATATACTGATATAGTAGTTTCTTACATTTAATGATTGATGTGTTTACTTGCAGCTACCTGCCTTAGTATACCACTAGCTTTGTTGAAGAAAGCCATATTTACTCTAAAATTGCAAATAGATTCATTTTAGGATAAAGAAAAATGAAAGAAAAAAAAAGAGTCGAAGTCTTGGGACCAAAATTGTAATTTACTCTAAAATTAAATACTATGAAATCTTAATATAGAATTATAAACTAAAATTTATTTTTGGAAAATAACATAAAATAAGTTTAACTTAAGTCTTGAAATATTTTAAAAACAATATTTTTTTTAATTAACCGTGTATAAATAAAAGTAATTTATGAATGAAAATCATAATGACATTATGTGGAAGAATGCTCCATTCCATTCCCATGTGACAAACAAACCTGATTTTCCATTCCATTCCATTCCCTCTTCAATTACACATATCAAACACAATCTAAAAGTAATTAATTAATCACCATAAAGAAAAGAAAAGAAAAAACACACAGAAAAAACTCAAAAAGGCATTTTCATACACCTGCCTCAATCATAGCTTGAATTTTATCATTTTTTCCATCAGATAAATAAGAAAATTTAGCCTACACCTACATACACCTAAAAAAATATGCATATATTACTGTTATTGAATTTTATCAATTGTTCTCATAAACAACTAGAAAAATATAAAATGATGGAAGTAAATGTCCTATTTTTTTCTTACATTGGGGGCATTATTGGAAATGTGTAGGCTTTAAAGGAAGAGCTTGCATCTGCAGAACGAAGAGCATAATTAGAGCATGCTGCACACAATGCTACCAAGATGGTTTTGTTCACATGTCTATTACTTTTTTCTTTCGTACTCTTTTATTTTTCTTTATTTTTTTAAATAAAGTGATGATGATGTATATAATTAATTAATATTTAATAGGCTGCAATGGAAAGGGATGTAGAACCAGTGTTGTCAATAGCGATCATAGCGATCGCTATTGCGTTTAGCGAGGCGAGGCGTTGGTGTGTCGCTATGGGGCTTATAGCAAGGTAATAGCAGCGTAGCGATAGAATGTTTTTTTTAATTAAATTGATTTTTTCATAAAATGGCAAAATTGATTCCTGGAACATGTTTTTACTGATTGGAATTGGTCTAATTATTGATTGGGATTGCCAATTTTGCATTTGGGATCGCCAGTTTGGTGTTTGGATCACCGATTTGGAGATTGGTAGAAAAACTATCGATCGAAAAAAAAAAGTTGTTCTTTCACCTCTTCGATTAAGTTTTTGAATTTTGATGCTATGATTAATGCTTCTAATACATTCAATTGATTATATATTCCATATTTCTATACTCCTATTCTACAATTCCTTTAACTACCTATACCACAATTCCAGTGTTACCACTTTTGTTCTAGTTGCTTTCCTGTTTGAAGTTGTTTGAAGTATTAGTTGCTGGAAATTTGGTTTGAAGTGTTAGAAGTTCTATTTTTAAGGAAACTTGAATTTTTGTTTTTATGTTAAATGTTATTAAAACAAATAGGAGCAAGGTTTTCTGAGATTTGTGTTAAATTGATGTCAAGTAGTGTGTGATAATGGAAAGTTTTCCTGCACTCTCCTTCTCTCCATATCAGCTTCAAAGGATTTTGTGCTAGATTCTTTTACACTTGGTTTCTTTCTTTGTTGTACACTTATGTACTTACAGTTTCTGTTCTTCTCAGTTATAATTTGAATGCTTATTGTGATTCAGTTATTTAATATTCATGTTTTAGAACTTATTTGAGCAACTAGTATTGGTTTTTAGCTTATTTATTAGTTATAATTGTTAAATACATGAAGGTATAAATAGTATTAATTTTTTATTAGGTAATCGCTAAAATGAAATAGCCGTCGCTATTCCATCGCTATCGCTACGTAGCATATAGGTAGGTTATCGCTATAACCTCGCTATCGCTATCGATAACACTGTGTAGAATTGGAACACCGAGCTCTTGATGCATCCACAGCCTTAGCCAAAATCCTGGTATTCTCAAGATGTATTTTTCTTTTGTGTCATACCTTATATTAGTTAAACCCTTTTAAATGTGGAATATACAAAAATTGATTTATAAAAATGATGATTAATGTGTAATAGTTTTGAATTGTGCTTTGTGTGTGTATTAGAGAACAGTTGATGCGAGGACTGCAAAAGCAGTGGAGCTTGAGCAAAAGGTGGCACTACTTGTTCTTATAATTTTATTAAGAACAAGTACGAGATCATTCAAAATAATACTCGAAACTTAGAGTAAATTAGCGTTTTATGATGTACCTTCCTAGAAATTTAGATTCAGTTTTAGCATAGCAGTCGATCATTTGTTGATTAGTAGTGCCTTCACCGTCGGGCTTATCCAGCACGATTATATGCTTGTAATCACATCCGGGGAACAGCGGCGCCATCTCCATCGGTGGTCGATCACTGAAGCTCAAACCAATCCACATATACCTATTTAAAAACAAACGCTTATCTCATGACAAAAATGAACTAAAAAAACGAGTCCATTGCCAAATTAAACACCAATTGGACCACAATCAAACTCACCTGTGATCAACGAGATAATGTCGCTCATCATCGAGGTCAGACAGACTCTAGATTGAACGGATAGTGTTACTGCTTCCGAACATCGATCCGTCCTCTGGCTTAGAGACCGGAGCGATCAGACCTCAATCAACGACATTAACAAAGTCGTTATCGCCGATGCTGACGTGATTAAACTTTTGAATCGCGTCTTCAAGACCAGAAGATCAGAGGTGAAGGAGAATCAGGAGGCCCAAAGCGATCAGACCTCTGGTTGATTTATAAGGGCACAGAACTTCGAGTGGGACGAATGACGCAACCACCGCGTTGTTCAATCTATCAATCATCGGGGGATCTTCAATGAAGGCGGTGGTTGTTGACAGAGGTAGGGTCGTTGTTGGAGGGAGGCGGTCGACGAAGAGGGAGGATGTTGGTGAAGAACATGATACATTGAAAGAGAGAGAGAGAGAGAGAGAGAGAGAGAGAGTATTAGATCAAAGTGTTTAGGGACGTGATAATCTAATATATGATTTATCCTTGTGATATTTGTTAAAAACCCATATACACCATTCAGACTTTTCTTAATTACCAGATTGCCATTAAAAATCTCATCCCTTAAAAGTTTTGATCTAATGGTCCACTTTTAATTCTCGGGTTCTTGAGAATATGAGTTCTCATATATATATATATATATATATATATATATATATATATATATATATATATATATATATATATATATATATATATATATATATATATATATACAGAGTTGTAAAACTCGCCAAGTTGGCCGAGTACTCATTCGAGTACTCACTAGTCGACCCCTTGCCGAGGCGAGTTACAAAATCCGAGTACTCCCCGATCGGCCCCTTGTTGAAGTGAACACGGTTGTAAAATTTGGCCAACTCGATGATTAATATGTATAGTATACTTAATCATTTATTATTTAACACACACATGTGATTATTACTATATATATATATATATATATATATATATATATATATATATATATATATGTATATCTTAAATTTTCAATAATTATTCATGAAGTGGGACCATGGTGTGTGTTTTTTTAGTTTTTGTGTATTTTCATGTATCTAATTGTGTTATATATTTCATTCAACTTATGGTTTTAACTTATGTTTTTTGACATATATAAATTTCCTAAAAATATTTCTATATGAATTACCGAATCCGAATACTCCTAAGTACTCGCTACTCGGTAGTCAGCCGAGTAGTTACCGAGTAGCGAGTTCTACAACCATGTATATATATATATATATATATATATATATACATATATAGACACACACACACACACATATATATATATATATATATGTATATATATATATATATATATGTATATATATATATATATGTATATATATATATATATATATATATATATATATATATATATATATATATATATATATATATATATATATATATAAATTCAATTGAGAACCATAATTATTAGTTTTTAAAGGAACCAAATTTTTTTTTTCAATTTCTAGAACTTATTCTTTATCGAAAAGAAAATCTAAAAATATCTAAATTCATATATTAACATTGTGAGTGTGAAAAATATTTTCGGATTCATCGTGTGAATCTAGATTCACATTGTGAATTTTCAAAGATTCACATTGTGAATTTAACGTTAAAAAAAATCAAATTTGATCTCATTGGAAAAGGATAAAAAGTAATTTCTGTATTTTTAATTTTTTTTTAATAAAAAAATAAGTTCTAAAAGTTAAAAAAAAGATTGGTTATTTAGTTTATTAGTTAATTATTGTTCTCTATTAAACCTCACCTTATATATATATATATATATATATATATATATATATATATATATATATATATATATATATATATATATGCATCGAATCCCGAAGCTTACCAAAAACACAATGAAGGCAGCCAAAAATTAATCCTAATCTACAAAATTGAGAGAGAAGAATTCGAACCAAAGAACAATAAAGCAGGCAGAGATTAAACCTAATCTACAATTGAGCGAGAAGACGAACGAACCTGTTAGAAGTTGTCCTGCGAACATTTACGGGAGGTACACGATGCGGTGGTCTGATCTATGTTGCTGCAATGAGTAAACAACAGTCGATGATAGTTGGTGAGGCGGTGAACCCTGGGACGAAGAGCTTGCACTTGGGTTGGGAAGATCGGTCATATTAACTGAGAGAATGGGTGGAATTGGAACCCGGTGACTAATGGATAATGGATGAGAGATAGGGAAGGAGTGAGAAATTGAACCGGTAGGGGTGGGCACTAATCCTATTTCTATTGGCTATTGGCTATTGGCTTTAGGAACACTTAGATAGTAGACTACTACATATGTAATCACTATCCCACGCACCATAAAAGATAAAAACAGTAAATAACAAAAAAATCCAAAAAAAAAAAAAATCAACCAATCACATGCGAGAACTGTTCAAATGTATCTTGTAAATTAGTAATTATATATAGAGTATAATATGCAACTGGGCCTTAAATATGATGATCGTTTTAAATATGGAATAATTTGTAGGCTTAAATTTGTTAATATATAATGGGCTTTTCCTTCTATACGTCTTTAGATCAAATGATAAAAATAGTACATATATTTAAAATCAAATGTCATCCACTTTTTCAAGTTTTTAAATCATAAATATATTAAATATTATCCTTAAAAGAAAAAGTATATTATTTTTGTTATTTATTTATTCATCTTCAGATCAAATATATATATATATATATATATATATATATATATATATATATATATATATATATATATATATATATATATATCGAATGTCATTCACTTTTTCAAGTTTTTAAATCATAAATATATTAAACATGATCCTTCAAAAAAAAGTATATTATTTTTGTTATTTATTTATTCGTTATTAAATCAAATGATAAAAACTAGAGGGGAATAATGCGCGACGTTGGTGCTATGTTTGTTTTTTTTTTTTTCCAATCTATACCAAAGGGTAGAACATAATATAATATTAATAAAAACATATTATATATACAGAAGGGGTCTTCATATCACAAACAAATACTTGATAGTATGTTGTTATTTAGTGTATTTTACCCTAAAAAAGAACCCAAAAAGTAAAATGTTTTGAGATGACTTACCTATTATATTTAATTGTTTGCAGATATGGTGAAACCAATGACTAAAGATGGAGATCGGAGAAAAAATCAAATAATAAACGGACTTCAATTTTTTGCCATGAACTTCTCCATACAGCTACTTTCCGCCATTATGGGATTGCACCAATTTCATGTTCTGTTGAACAACCTGGTTAGGGATCAAATACATCCACTGAAATAATCAAAATCCCGAAAATTTATTTCTTAAAAAATTAAAGACAATATTACAAACAATTGATAATTAATAAGAAAATTACCTGAATGAGCCCCTGGTCCAAATAACTTCAATGGTCATTTTTTCAGTCCTGGTAATATATGAAAACATTTGTTGATTTTTTTTTTCTATATGAGTATGCATGTTAGATAACTGATTGGTTTTTTTTTTAACAAATAAGATGATAAATGCTAAATGCAAGAAACAACAACGAAGTTTTATTTATTTATCAATCATAAAAAGGAAAGAAATCATTAATGTTGCTATAATACTGAAAGATATGAAAGTATATTGTTATTTGGTGGATGTTGTCCTAATATCCAAATCTAATTGACCAAGATACAGTGCATACATGGGCTCTAAAACTCTCGCCAGATTGTCTGACCTGGAAATTTTATCTTTTTGTAAAGTACAAGACAATGCATTCTCCAAACATTTAAAACGATGAAGGCCTGCCACTCTTTACAAATATATAAAAATTTGAAAGCCAAGCAAAAAAAGTTACCTGGTAATGGATGATGGAATAAGAAACACGTTTTTTGTGAATAGATGTTTACTTTACTTTTTGTTATCTCTATCTATTTCTACTACCTCATGCATGTACTGCAGATATAGTTAAAGGAAGCAAAAAAAAAATAATAATAAATAAATAAATAAATAAATAGAAAGTCTAATTGAAAGTGGATTCTATGTTAGAGTGTTCGTTAAGTGAAACACCCACAAGCACTTTAAGATTCTTTGGGACATTGAATTAAAATAAAACCAATTTACCAAAATGAAATTTGATCTATTAAGTAACTTTTAATCTACCCTCTTCCACTCTAATAAGAATTAAAATATATTAACTAATCTTGAATTAAACTTTAAAAAGGACAAAAAAACCATTTCGTTACCAACCTTAAAAATCCATAATTATAAAATTACTTTCATAAAAGCCATTGATAGATGATTTATGTGTGCAAGATTTATTTGTGTGTTCTTGATGCAAAAGTTGTTAGTTGACCACATAAATCATATATGGTTAAATACAAATAATCACATGTGATTATATACATGATAAAAATTATTGAATCTACAACTTAAAAATGAGTTTAACAAATCATATGTGATTAGATACATTTAATCACATGTGATTATATACACGAGAGTAACTATCAAAATCAAGAACGCAAATATATATATATATATATATATATATATATATATATATATATATATATATATATTATACATAAATCAAATGTGATTCAATATATATAATCACATCATCACATGTGATTAAATACATGAGACCAACTATTGAGTCGAAAACGCGAAAATGAATATTGTCCATATAAATCATATGTGATTAAATACATATAATCTCATGTGAGAATATGTATCTAATCACATCTGATTTATATGGACAAAAAAATGATGTCAATATAAATCATATGTGATTAGATACATATAATCACATATGATTATATACATGAGAACAACTATTGAATCGAGAACAAAAAGATAAATATTGTCTACATATATTATATGTGATTAAATACATATAATCACATGTGATTATATGTATCTAATCACATAGAATTTATATGCAAATATTCATTTTCGCGTTCTCGATTTAGTTGTTTTTCTTGTGTATTTAGTTACATGAGATTATATGTATCTAACCAAATATGATTTATATGGAAAATTTTCGTTTTCAGAATACCCTTAAATAGTTGTTCTTTTACATTTAGTCACATATGATTTATGTACACA